CGCTGTGGGGCCTGTGGGCTTGAATTATTGTATAAACTCGTACCAATAAACTCTGCGCGCTGCACTCTTCTTTTTTCTGTGGAGAGCTGTCTTATCAAGCCACACCAGACAACGTCTGCCGTGTGCTGGGGGTGGCGAAGTGAAAAAGAGGAGTTCATGAGAAGGATCGGCTTCTGACAAGGAGAGGTCACAATACGATTGGAGGCTTTGACTAGGCAGCAAAGATGCAAACCCGGTGGTCGGCGGCTCGCCTCTGCGCTGGCGGGGAGTCGGAAAGCGGATATAGTTTTCTCCGCTTGCTTCTCTTCTGCTCCAGGCGGCCACCTCAAGGAGACCACAGCCGCAGCCTCAAGTCGTCGGGGCGGCTGTGGGGACCCTCTCGCTTCAGGCGCGCTTCCGCTTCCAGGCGCTGGAGCTCCTCTTTACGAGTTCCCGCTGAACGCCCGGGGCCCCGCTTCGCCCGCTGCCAAGCTCTTTGAAGTCCTTTGCTCAGGCGGAGCCAGTGCCGAGTCCTGAGAGGATTGAGAAGGGTTGAGAAGAGCTACTTCGATCAACCCCGCCGAGGCAGATTTCCGCGCGGCTGCGGCAAGCCATGGCAAACCAGTGGAGCCAAGCAACACGAGACCGAGAGGCCTCGGCGCTTTCCCGGCCGCCTAGGGGCTCAAGAGCGGCAGTGCCTTGCCAGGGGAGACAGGCTCGTGATGCTCAGAGCTTGAGTTGGCGAGAGGCGCGCCAGCCGCAATTTTCAGCAAGTGTGCAAAAGACGCCGCCCGTGAGCAGCGAGGACGGCAGCTGGACCAGGGCCACCCCGCACCGTCCGCCCCTCCACAGTCGGCACGCGCACACACTGTTACGCCGGCTCTTTGAGCAGAGGTGACACGGAGCGCTCCTTCGGGGAAGGAAGAGAAAGCCGGAGAAGGGGTTTTGGAGGCCACTGGGACGCTGTGAACTTCCAGGCGCCGTCAGAGACAGCGCTCTGCGTGGCTCTCTGCCCGTTGCTCTTCTTCTCTTCTCTTCTCTTCTCCGACTCGGCGGAGGCCTCCAGGTCGCCCGGGCCGCCCGCCGGGCCCGCGCCTCGAACTTAGGACGGTAGAAAGAAAAGGTCAAAGGAAGTGTGTGTGACGGTGTGTGTGGGGTTCTCTCTTCCTGTCGCCGCAGGCGTCTTCATGTGGGGCTGTCGCCTCGGCGCTTTTCTCGGTCTCCCCGGCCGGGCCTCTCTCGTTCCCGCAGCCGTTCCGATCCTGGCTCCCCCGCCGGCTCCCCCGGCCGCCGCGCGGTTGTGGTCCGGCGGAGGAGGGACTCGCCGATGCACCCGGCCGCGCGAGGGCCGCCGGGCTCGGAGCTCGCAGCCGGACAGCACAGAAGTCTGTTGAAAGCCATCCCCCCCCCTCCCTTTCTCCGCCTCTCCTCCCCCCCAGGCACAGGCCTTGGCCACGGCTCTGGAAGGCTCTCGCAGGAGCCGCACCTTCAAATGCTCCAAACCGTCTAAGAGGCATCCCCCGTTTCGCTGTGTTTCCTGTAGGCGGCAGCAGCGATGGGCCTGGCAGCAGCTGGGTGGAAGCTCTCGTCCAGAAGGGGAAGGGCAAGGCGGGAAAGCAGAACGCTGCAACGACTGAGTGATGGCAGTGTGCAGATGAGTCATGCCTCGCGAGTACTTCGTACAGATTCTAGGGTAGTCTTCTGAGCTTTGTTCCATCGCTGGGCTTGGGTACAGATGCAGCGTGTGGCTTGCAAATAGACTTGTAACAAGAAAGAACACCCTAAATCCTTGAGCCCTAAACGGTCTGCTTCACAGGTGCTCTTCGTCAAGATGCTCTTCTTCGAGGCGAGGCAACTGGAGTGCGTCTTGCTCATGTTGGGGTGTAGGATGCCTGCTGTTCTGTTGAAAGCAGCAGGAAAAACCATTGGGACAACCAAATACGCAAACAAGCGACCTCCGCAAAGCACCACGTCACAACCGCGAGTTGGAGCCCCTGCCAGCTGCTGGCTGTTGCCTCGTCCTTGCCAGGTGAAAGCTCGAGTCCCTCACCCCGAGCCTCGCCAGAAAGAGCGCCGCTCAGTGGGTTTTTGCTGTCAGTGATGTGCGGTACAGAGCTTCTCTGCCTGGGGGGGGGTCCAAAAGCACACAGCTGTCACTGTGCGCACTTCTCAGTGGGTTTTAACCGTAAGTGATGTGTGTGGCACTGAAAGCTCTGCCTGTGCGGTAAAAACCCAGGCCGCTGTCGGAAAGACCCTCGCGAGCGCCTGGCGCCCCTGCCGGGACGCTAAGAGTGCAGCGCAGCACGCAGGGCGGGGGGGGGGAGCAGCGCCGTCCTGCGAAAGAGTTTTTCTGTCGCGGGCGCAGGCGCATGCGTCTCTCTCTCTCTCTCTCTCTGCGATGGCGTTGTCGCGGCGCACTCGCTCCGCGGAGGGACTTCCAGCGCCTGGGCCCAGCGGCGCCACGGAGCGGCCTGGAGCGCCTGGAGTCCACGTGGCAAGGCGCGGGGGCCCAGAGAGGTCGGAGAGCTTTTAGCCTGCTCTGCACGAAGCCGCCTTTTCTCATTTATCTTTGCTCGGCCGGCCGCTCTCGGACTCAGGTTTTAGCGATCGCAGCTGGCTGCGCTCAAGCCCCACTCTGTCGGATCATCGAGGAGTCCTTGACTCCTCTCCCTGTTTTCGATTGGAAGGCCCACCAGCGCGGCCAGACCTCCATGGAGCAACGCAGCATGGTCTGGTGCCTGCACCGCCGCGTGCAATGGCCAAGCTGCCAAGGTGCCGCAAAAAGGAAAGGTTTGGTAGAGAAGCTGCTGTGAAAGAAGCTCCGCCGAAACGCTTGCTAACTTGCTACTGCAGCGATCGCGGTCCCCCCCTCGGAGCCAGGCGACCTGATTTCCAGAAGCGGCCACTGGGGCCGCCCGGACCTCCGGAGAAGTTCGACCGAGAGAGATGGCAGGCAGAGGAGGGTATACGCCGACGCGTGCCCGTCCGAAAAAGGCGCGCGACTGCGTGCCAGGCACGCCACAGCGGCCTTGAGAACTACATCGGCTGTGTGGCCTGGAACTATCGGGACATTCAGGCTGCAAAACGTGGGCGACTGCAGAGCATCGCACTTTTCGCATCGAAAATTGCAGTGGAGGTGCCACTGCTCAAATCGGACTTTGCGGCCGGAAGCTTGGCGTGGCTCCACCAGGGAACAGATGCGAGATGGTCAGGCCCAGATGCAAGATGAGGTCGCCAGAGTTGCACTGCAGAAAAAAGAGTCTCCTTGCTCCTTGCGCTCACCGAGAGGCGCATGTTGACGCCGATGCCCGCGTTGCTGCCTGGCAGCGGCACTTCAGGCCGGTGTGCGGTTGAACTGGGCGCTGCACGGAGCATGCCACGCTGCGCGGAGCGACGTGCGGCGGCCTTCTGAGGCTCTCAGATCTGAGCACCGCTCGGACTGCCGGGGCCCCGGTTCTCGCCGCCTTCCGCCGCTGTATTCGTCACCCGCAAGACCCGAGGCCCGAAACGGTAAAGCCGGCCCGCGCCCGTGCCTGAGACGTCGGCCCGCGCTTCGCCCCTTTCGCCCGTCCGCCGTCTGAGGTCTTCCAAGCCTCCAGGCGAGGCTGGAAAGGCCCCGGGATCGATCCCTGGAAAGGCAGGGCGAAGCGGAAGCAGCAAAGTGCCGTGCGCCACGCGCCCCTCGCCCCCTCGATTCCTTTCATCTCATTCACGGAGCCCCCGACCCTTCAGGCACGCGGTCCCCAGCGAGGAGCTGGTGCAAACCGCTTTTTTTCGGATTGAAGATCGAAGCTTCCTGCGACACGCAGGAGCTCCAAGAGAAGGGTTGGACCGCTCGGTGAAGAAAAGAAAAAACGCAGAGCGAATTGCGCAGAGCAACGCCTCATGACAGCACTGGCCACGGAAAACTCCGACCGGCCCAAAGGCTGAAAGAAGAGGCAGATGCGGATGCGAGGAAAAGTGATTGGGATCCCGGGATCCCCGACATGTTGCCAACATGTCAGCTACATGCATCTGCTTAAGTCATGGCGTTGGGGAAGAGGTCGTCTCGTGTGTAGCAAGCTTGAAAGTCTGATGTCTGCCGTCCGAAGCCACATTGTGTGCACCAACCAGATGCAGCTTTTGCCGGCTTGCCTGTCTGGATGTCGAAGAGGTGAAAGGGCCACAGGAGAGCCAGTCTAGCTGCCAGGACAGCTCCAAGAGGTGCTCAAATGTTAGGAAGCCATGTTTGGAGCCCCAAGTGGTGCCCCAGCGTGAAGAAGTACGATTTGTTGCCGACCCAGCGCGAAGAAGCACGATTGGTTGCAAGTGTCTTTGGCTCAAATGGCACACTTTTGCCACCTGGAGCCCCAGACAGCGGCAACAAATCGTACTTTTTAGCCTTGGGGGTACCAATTGAGTCGCAAGTATCAGCAACATATCGTACTCTTTAATCTGCGGATGCCGTTTGAGTCGAAGACCATCAGCTGGACCACTTCCAGCCTGTGCAGCTGTAATCAACATGCGAATATTTTGCAAGTGATCAATGAAGGATCTAAACAATCACACACACACACCGGATGTTGTGTCCTTGCGTGCCCTTGGCATCCCTTGGCACAGCAGATTCTGGCTGGTGTTGGATGCGTGCCTGGCTCGTGTAGGGCCTCAAGGCTGATATCATAACAGTGTCTCCTGTAGTTTTTCTTGGGTCGTCCCATTCCGTCCTACGAATCCGGTGCTGCCATCTCAGCATCAAGTATTCGACCACTCCATCGCTACTCAGAAAGCTGCGACCGGTTCTCAGATTGCCGCAAAGTCGTTTGGATGCTTATTATTTCGGATTCGGCGCTAATCGAGCTCAGGTTTCCGCGGTTTGACCTATGGCCTTGGCCAAGTCCTAAGCTGCTTTGCATTCGCGCATGTGCCAAATTTCGTTGAAATGGATGCATTTGCCTGACACCCGTCTCCTTGAGCAACTCTGGCTTCAAGTGCTGGGCCACTGCTTGTTGCTTGCTGGTCAGGCAATTCCCCAGCACGGAGCCATGCCGGGCCAAACGCTTGTAGACGCCATGAAGAGCAGCGACAGCGCCGTGAACTTTTTGATACAGCTACTTCAGTACCTTGGACCGGCGGTTGGCAGTTTCCTTCGCTTACAAGGCTTGTTGTGTTTGTATAGCGTTTCTGGGGAGTTCCGAGTGTGATGCATGAAGCTTGCTGAATTTGTTGGTTCAGCAGCACGCTGCGTGTCGCAACCAATGCTAAGGAAGTTTCTCGCCATTTCTTCAGTGGAGGAGTACATTACTTGGGCCGAAGCTTCATCTTCAAAGGGAACGAGACAGCTTCAACTCACGCTTGAGCTTCCCGGCTTGAGCACTTCCATTAGCGATGATTGCAATGTGGCTGGATTGAATGCAAAGCAGGCGCGAAGGGCAGTGCAGCGGAAAAGGAACGAGATGACGATAGAGCTCATCAATGACCACATGCATTTCTTCAGCCCGGCCTGGGACGCAGTGAAGGACATGCGCACTGCGAGGCAGAAGCGACGGTTTCAGCATTGACACATATTGACTTTGTGATCATACAGCCCATTCGAGCAGATCGTGGTGCCTTCAAAAAGGCAGAAGTATTGATGACAAGTTGCAACTTGCAAGTTTTCCGAGCCGTGCTTAGACAGGTGGAGCTCCCAGCGTGTGTTGATTAATTAGTAGTGAATGAGGTGACATTTTCAATCAAACTTGCTGATGGCACGTGCTTGGAAGCTTGTCACAGTGGTGCAGACTGGCATGGGAAGCAGTGAGAGAAAACAGTGGACACTGAGCGCTTGGCAAGTGTCCGTCATCTTCCAGCGAAGTTTTGTTGGTGATGGTACGTTTGAGTGCCCGTGCGTGAGCCCAGGAGTCTAGAACGACGAACTGGTTGGTGACAAGAACGCAGCCGCGTGGTTTCACCACGGGACTGCTGGAATAATTGTGCGATAAGTGGACACAGATATCGAGTTTTCAGTTCTCATGGGTGGGATGTGAAGTTGGACAGGTCCGGCAAGTTCCCGCTTTGCGACTTAGGTTTCAAAGTTGCCGACTTTGTTGCAGCACTCGGGCAACCCGGAGCCCAAGGTCACGGAGGCTGCAGCGACACACAAGTGATCCTGGCTGAAAGCGACCCTTGCCTGTCTGTCGAATATTGCGAAATTGGCAAACCTCTTCAGATATTTTTTGTGCCAGCCCACGACTTGATAGATGTGTGACTCAGTATCGGATGAACCGGTTGAGGGTGAACCTCGCCTCTGAAACTGCCGCAGTGCTTGGACACCTCGGGCCACCATCACCCTCAACACCTCCCGGCCTGTCCACTCAAATCTAGTCGCATACGAAAGTTTTCCCGCTGCTGCTGTCATTTTCGCCGCGCGCTGGGATAACTGCTGTGGCAATAGTCAAACACAAAGTTTCCAACCCCCTCTTCAAGGGCCATCGCTTGGGGGGTTTGGGGATCTATCAAAATTAGCTTGCAATCTTTTGCCATTTTCGGTTCAGGTAAACTCGGGTGCGCAAATTGCTGCAGGCGTTGAAAGTCCTCGGCATCCGTTTGGAAGCTTTGATCACGGAGGCAACTGCGAGTTTTTTTGATACCGTGCTTGAGATGGAGCTGGGTTTGTGATTTCAAAGTTGAGGTAGTCGGCTTCAGAGTGTCTCGACAACACTCAAGCGGATGTGTTGCTTCCAGGATGTCATGCCGAACGGCGACTTTGTGAAGGCCGGGTGCTACCATATGTGGATGTGCTGAAGGGATTGAAAAGGCTGATTTTGAGTGCCAAAGCTCCGGGCAGGTGTTGGTTTGGATCCTAGTGTGAAAGGAAGGTTGGACGTCCTTTCAAAGGGGGCCCCCCCTCCAAGAGCTTTTGCAATCAAAACTGACCTTTTCAACATTCCAAATCATTAATATGTTTGAAGCCTTCCACATGCCAGAGCCATTGCCTTGAAGGGAAGGGCCGTAGGAGGCAATTTTGTTGGTCTGCAGGACATCGTGCGCGCCGGCGATCATGTGAAGGCCGGGTGCTTTCTAGCAAAGACCACAATGTTGGCATGCGCGCGTGCCCCTGCGAACCTTGTTGAGAGAGCCGAGCGGCAGATGAAAATAGACAAGACCATCTCGGAA